CTATTTTTTAACGCATACTCATTTTGCACCAGGAACCACAAGTCATGTGGGAGGTCTCAGTAATTGTGCTGGCAGCCACTATTGTCCTGAGTGCAACCCCACCTGGAACTCAGTTGGGGAGACTGGGGAGACCTGGGGTCTGGTGTTTTCCCGCATCCTGGGATGATACCCAGGCAGGTACCCAGCAGGTCAGAGAGCTGGGAACAGAAGAAAACATACCAAGAACACTTTCTCAGTCATTTGCTTCATCCAACAACACCTCTGCTGTGGGCCAAACCCTGTGCTGGGGGTTTCAGAGGTCCTGACCATGAAGAGGATATTCCTATTCCTCATTCTCCATCTGAGAACCAGGGTATCTGCTCACACTAAATGAACCACACCCTTAGTAGGCTGGAAAGAGTGTTAAATTTTAAAGCATGAGATTTGCTTCAGACCCTGGCTCAGCTCTTGACTTACTATGTTGTCACCTTTGGGCAAATCCTTTCCCCTCTCTGAACTAGATCCCTATTTGTTCAAGTGTGGCTGGCCTTGTACAACCTACATCAGATTCCTAGAAATGCAGATTGATGGATTCCACCCAGAGTGATGAATTTTGAGTCAGCATTTTCAGGAATGGGCCCCTGGAGTCATTGCCCTGGTCTCTCTGAGTGGTTTTAATGGGCCTTCTGGCTTGAAAACTTCAGAGACAGGTGGCCTGAGGTCACCTTGGGCTCTATCAGTCTTATGAGTCTTTCTTGGTGACCCAGCTCTCAACAACATGCTAAGTCCAGGAAATGGCAGATAGTAGAGGTGGAAATGGAAGAGAAAAAATAAAGGGGGAGAGCACCTGCTTTTGACCAACTCAGAGAACAATACACATGAGGGAAGCCAAGGGCTACTATTGCAAGACACAGAAGCTAACCCTATCTAGAAAAATAACTGTATATGAACTCTGTACAGGAAGAAATGCCAGGAGAAAGCAGAGCCAGAGGGCTTGGAACTGCAGCCATAGTCTGACCATAAACATAGGTTTCTGCTGCTCAAAACCCCAACCAAAGACAGCTATTGGTGGCACATATCTGTAATCCTAGCTACTCGGAAGGCTGGGATCTGAGGATTAAGGTTCAAAGCCAGCCGGAGCAGGAAATCTCTAATTAACTACCAGAAAACTGGAAGTGGTGCTGTAGCTCAAAGTGGTAGAGCACTATCCTGGAGCAAAAGAGCTCAGGGACAGTGCCCAGACTGTGAGTTCAAGCACTACAACTGACAAAAAAAGAAATAACCAAGCTCCCGAGGGCCTCAAAACAAGAGACCCATGAATGTACCTGCCTGTGAAGGTAGGGTGGTGGAGTCCTCATTAACCCTGTAGCTCTGTGATGATGAGGGTTTTCTTATAGCTGAAGGTTCTAGAAATACACTGTCCAGTAATAGTGCCACGAGTCAGGTGCAGCTGTGTGAATTGGATGTAATTAATTAAAATGAAAACTCCTCAGTCACCTTAGTAACCTATCATGGCCAGCGGCTAGCATGCTGGACAGCACAGGTTGCAGAGCCGAAAGTTTCCTGGACCCAGCTTATCCACTGCTTAGCATTCCTTGCAAATGATTGCTGAATGTTTGTAAAGAAATGAGGCTACTTTAGGATTTTTTTTTTTTACTCTCTGTGGCAGCTACATCTGCTTCAGGAATAAACTGGCACCTCCAGCAAACCCCTAACCCAGCCTGATTAGCCTCAGGCGGTGCTCGCTGATGGAGGAGCGAGTGGCTGTCCGTTTTGCCCATTACATACAGTGTTTCAGACAGAAAGGCTTCATTTCTCATTTCTTCCTGTAAGCCACAGGTCTGCTCTTTGAGCCTTGTCTTACTGATGGTAAGATTTCTCAAGCTCAGTTGTATAGCAAGCACACAGCTTCCACTCGCTCTGGAAAACACATTTTGGCACCTCTCCCCTCGCCTCCCTGGGATATTCTGGTAATATCAACATCATACCATTCTCAATTCTTCTCCCCATTTGAGCCCGGTCTTCGGGCTCCTCATCCTCTGCCTTGAGAAGACCGTAGATAACATAGCTATTGATTGCTGGTCATTCAACTCCTCCTCCCATCTAGTCCTCCCTCTCTTGAAGTCCTCTTCCCTGGCCTGGAAACTTTCACAGAAGATCTGCCTGTCTACTAAGCTGAAGCTAAGTAAGACAAGTGAAGTGAATACGACACTGTCTCCTCTCTGGAACAATTCGCCCACCAATGAGAGAGAGTGGCATAAATCCACAGGGACAGGAGAACCTATGAATAGGGATTGGGATGGGAGATCTCAGAAGAAACATCACAGAAATGACCCTGCAGGCAAAAGAGGGATCCATTCGCTTATTGCCATGAAGCTGTTTCTAAATCCTGGTCAAAGCCTCTTTTTCCTAAAACCCCATCTCAGTCACTGGATTCCTTGTGCGAATTATGAAAGCCCTGTCTATTCTTCTTCCCACCCTGTCTGCAGCTTGACCTTCCTTTCCAGGCACCTCTGACCTGGGAATCTCACTCAGCTCTGAATTCCCCTTACCAAACATGCCAGGGTCCTAAACTCCCTTGTTTCCTGCATTCCTGTAGCTGGTCCCTGCTACCTTCCCAAGCTTGCTGTCCTTTTCTTATTGACTCTAATTTTATTGTTATTATTAAGGTGTTGTGAAAAGGGGTTACCATTTCATAAGTCAGGTGATAAACATATTCCTTTGTTGAACAATGTCACCCCTTCATTTGCTTCCCCAGCCCCCAGTTTCCCCCTCCCATCTGTGTCTAGAGTGTATACTGAATAACATGGCTGCATTTGTTCACCCTTCCTCCCTTTTCATGCCCTCCTTTTACCCCCATAAAAAGGTAAACACACACACACACACACACACACACACACACACACACACACACACAGCATGGTTCAGCCTTTGTTTCCTGTGCTAGCTTTGGTGCATCTACAAGCCCTCCCCAAGCCATGGACCCAGTACTGGCACATACTTCTCTCCACTCTATCTTCCCTATTTCTCAAATGTGCCCATCTTTCCTTTTAAAACAGTCCTTGACTTAGACTCAGTTTTACCTGACCCAACAATAAGTGAGTAAGGTTGAATTCCAAAACATTCACCAATTCATTCAGTGTGCACTTTCTGAATGCCTACCATGCCCAGCTCTGAGCAGGACCGCTGAGCTCCACAAAGCCCAGCACCTGACCTGGAGATGTTGCAGCCTGATGCTGCAGTCAGATAAAAGATGGTCACCAGATGCGGCAGAAGCTCTAACAGATGGCTGTGGCGGCTACAATCAGACGAGACTAGGAGTTGCTTTGGGCAGGCTGGGAGGATAGACTTTAGTGATAAGTACAACTATGGTCAGGTGAACAAGCAGGAATACATTCTAGGCAAAGGAGCTATGTGTATCTGTGCCCAGCAGGAACCAACAGCAACCAATCTAAGTAGCCACATAGGCCACAAAACCAAGTGCTGCCAGAGAAAAGTGGGAACTGAGACAATTTGAGGAGCTAGGCTCCTCATCAGCTACAGACAGAGGCATTTTGGGAGCCCACTCTGCAGGCTGTTTGAAGAGGTAAGACAGACTGGGAAATTGAGTACAAGCTGATTCTCCAAGTGCATTCGCCACCTATTATGAGCAGAGCATACAGGGTAAGCCAGGGTCTGCTACCACCTCCTACAGCCAAAAGCCATTTCTCCTGACCAAGGAAGAGTTCAGAGAGCTTCTGCTCAACTTGCCCACCTCCTACAGCTCTTGAGGGGTAGAACAAGCCCTGTACTTCCATTGGGGCTATTCCAGCAGAGTACTTTTCCTCTTTCTGATTCTTCATCTTCAGCTCGTGGTTAGCAGGGACAGTAAAATGAAAGAACTTCGACGTCGAGGGTCTGGGTAGACACATAAAGAAGAAGGTGAGAGAATGCAGCCATCACAGCCAATTTACACATGTGGAAAATGAAGCCAGGAAAATTGAAGGGGATTAGTGAGGTTGAGAGACATGAAAAAAAAAAAAACTGTGAAAGAAGTGCATGTCGGGCTGGGAAGGTGGCTCAGTGGTAGAGCACTCGCCTTGCATGCATGAGGGCCTGGGTTCGATTCCTCAGCACCACATAAGCAAAAAAGAAAAAAGCCGGAAGTGGCACTGTGGCTCAAGTGGTAGAGCGCTAGCCTTGAGCTGAAGAGCTGAGGGACAGCGCCCAGGCCCAGAGTTCAGGCCCCATGACCACCCCCTCCAAAAAAAAGAAGTGCATGTTGTTCATAAACTGATATGTTCCGTTGAAACTCTTGTGTACACCAACTTAGATAATAAAATCATAATAAAAGATAAAATAAAATATGAAGTAATTCAAAGAATCCTTCCAAGGCTGGAAGGCAGCTAGTCTTGAAAAGGAATTTATTCCTTTACTTTCCTCATAATTCCATTCCACAGATTTAGTGACTGAGACAAGCAGTTGGCCTAACTGACCTGAAAGTATTTCCCATTGTGGCTGAAACAGTGTGCCACAAACTTGGTGGCTAGAAAGAACACAAATTGGTTATCTTAAAATTCTTCAAGTCAAAGATCCAAATGGGTTTGGCTAGGTTTATTCAAATCAAGGTTGTTGGCAGGTCTCTGTCCCTCTCAGGAGGCTATCAGGGGAAAGCTTTTTCCAGCTTCTAGAAGCTGCCTCCATCCCTTAGCTTGAGTCTCCCACTCCATCTTCAAAAATCAACAGTGTGGCATCTTTCCATTTTCTCTGACAGATCTCCAGAATCCTCTCACAAAGACCTCTGTGATTACTTTGGACCTACCCACATAATCCAGGACAATTTCTCCATCTCAAGACCTTTCACTTAATGACACTGATACTGAACCTTTTGCTGTATAAGGTCACGCATTCAGTTTCCAGCAACACGGGTGTGAATATCTCTCTGGACACAATCATCCAGCATGGACCTTTGGACATCTTGAACTTTTCAACCCTGAGCATCTGTCACTGACCCATACCTCTGTCCACCTTTGTTCTTTCAGAGGAAACGACATTTGAAGCGGGAGTGAAAGTTCAAATCCACAGTCAATCTGAGCCACCTTTCATTCAGGAGCTGGGATTTGGGGTGGCTCCAGGGTTCCAGACCTTCGTAGCCACACAGGAGCAGAGGGTAAGTTTCCTGGGCTCCCCAGGTCAGTGATCCTCAGCCCACCCCAGCTAGCCTCAGAGACCTGATGGGAGAAATGCAAAGCTCACTCTGGCAGGCTCTGAATCTGCTCAAGAAGCTTGGAATGGAGCTTGGGGCCATTCACAGTAAAGGGTTTTACCCTGAAACTGGAGAAGGATGCTGGCTGACCTCCTTCCTCAATTCTCCTACACTACTCATTGGCTCCTAAAATTGAGTGTGCAGGGAAACTCAGCTTGCTTTCTTTTCTTACTGAATGGTTGAAGACTTTTTTTCCCACAACATACTATCATGGTAGACTTTTCTTTACAGGTTAATACTTTTTACAAAAGTTATTTGAATGTTCAAGGAAAGTGCTCACCAGCATCTGATAGTCCGTCACTTGGATTAATTGAAAGCAGCCAACATAAAGAAAAGGCCTGGGAAAATCATTTCCCTGCCATAGTTAAGTGGAGTGAACTCCCCTACATGGGTTTCTACCCTCCCACCCTTTGATATAGCCCTGGGGCGGGGTCCATACTCAGCCAGCCACAATCACTGCAGGAAAGCTGCCAGTTCACAGAAGGAGGGCTGGCACCGCCTCATGTCTGAAATGAGTTTCACATCTCAGAAGGGAATCCTTAGCAGAATCTCAGTAGGATGGAAATCTCAAAGCAGGATGGCAGAGGGATACAGATACCAGCCCCCCGCCCCTCTCTCATCTCCTGGATATTTTTGGTCTGGTTTGCCTAGAATAGAAGTTGAAGAGATGAGGACATAGCAGAAGTCTTCAGCCAAATCACCCAAGACAACTTGTTTTGGATGGCTCCAAGCAGAGTGGAGTTGCTCCATGATAGGAGCACAGTCTAGGGCCGTAAGAAGAGGGAAGACTCAGGAGAGCCATGACCGGGCAGTAAGGAAGGATGTACACTTGAAACTGAGTAGTCTGACATGTTTTTAAATTTTGACTCAAAGGCCATCTTCCACCTGGCATTGTTCCCAGCTGTTTAGCCATTTTATAAAGCAATATGGTATGTTTAAAAAAAAAACTGGTTATGAGTCTGAAAGTGGGCTACATTTTTTTTAAGTCCCTAGGAGAGTGGATGATTTTAGGCCTCCTGTTTTGGACAGGGGGCAGTTGGTGTAAACTAAGGTCAGCCTCTCCTGCCAACAGATGGAGGGAGCCCTGGGAGGTTAGTCTGTCCTCTATGAGCCTCAGAGATTGGGGCATGTGCTGCCCACTATATGCAGAAATGGATGGGTAAGCCAGGATCCAAACAGTGTAACCAGAAAAGTGCTTTCCTGAGAACAAAAAGGATTACGTGGATGTCGGGAAGTTCAAGGCCCAGAAGTTGAGAGGCAGAAAGAGCGAGAATATGGATTATCCAGCAAAGGTGGACAGACAGACAGGTAAACTGGGAACCTCTTGAGAACTGTCAGAAATGAGCAAAGCCAGACATAAGTGGACGTAGTAAGTTGAAATTTCCATCTGTAATATGCTGTTGCTTCCAGGTGCCAGTGGCTCACGCCTGTAATCCTACCTACTCAGGATCTAAGGATCCCAGTTCAAAGTTAGCCTGGGCAGGAAAGCTGTGAGACTCTTATCTCCAGTCAACTAGCAAAAAGCCACAAGTGGAGATATGGTTCAAGTCATAGAGCACCAGCCTTGAGCACAAAAGCCAAGTGAGCGCAGAAAAAGAAAAATGCTATTGCCATAAGGACAAGGTCTAGGATGAACAGAACACAATTTGGATCTATATAGAAATGATTGGGTATGTCCACAGAGAATAAGGAAAGAGGAAGAGGGACAGATAGGAAGGGCTTGAACAGAATTAGAAAAAAAATGAATCATAAAATGCACTAAGCTACTTAGGAAGCTGAAATCTGAGGATAACAGTTCAAAACCAATCCAGGCAGGAAAGTCTGTGAGATTGTCATCTCTAATTAAACACCGAAAAGCCAGAAGTAGAGCTATGGCTTAAGTGGTAGAACACTAGCCTTGAATCAAAAAGCTAAGTAAGGGACAGTGCCCAGGCCACATTCAAGCAGGAAAGAGGAATGGTCCATGTAAAACCCACCTGGGTTTGCTAACTGGTCCTTATTCAAGTTGAGCCCCTACCTTCTCACAAAGGCTGAGAGACAGGTTCCAGTCTTCAGATATCAGCTGGAATGAATGGTACTTGTTTTTGACAGCTTTGAGCTCCTAGAAACTGTGTTAATGTTTGTGTAAGCCCTCATGGGCCAGGGTTAAAGGTTAGTGGAGAAGAGGCTCAGGAGAACCAGGCTGGAATGTGGTCAAGGGCAGATCTTCTGTCAGCACTTTGTTACACTGTGTGAGCAGATCCATATTGCCTGCAAAGGACTGGGCACGGGGTAGACCAACTGATGTGCAGAGGAATTCTTGAACTCTTGAAAGGTAAACTTTAGACATATTGTCTGAGGCAAGTCTGACTTGGTGGTCTGTTGTACCCCTTGTGGTGGCATTCGTTGGTGTCTAGCTTGTTAGTAGTATGCAGTGTAAAAGTGAGCAACCACCCTACCCATAACACCAGCTGCAGAAGAGAAGTTCTTGGAAGTAGCTATTAACTCAGCAGCCTGAGATGCACTTAGTACCCACCCCCACCCCACCCACCCCTTTCCGGGTTATGCTTACCTTCCATTCGTGATATGGAGGAAATTTCTGGGCTGAGTAGAAAATTGGAACTGATGATTTCTAAGAAGCTTTAAGTCTCTATTTCTCTTCCCACTACGAAACAGAGAGACCCCCCACAGCGAGCATGATGAAGAAACAGAGCACATCCCAGCTTCCCAGAGTAGAGTAGTTTGCTTTGAAGGATATGCTCAGCAAATCAACCCCATTCATATCAGCATTTCTGTGCTTATTATAACTAATAATAAGATATTTGTTAAACATTTTACAGTCCTCAAAGCATTTCCGCATCATCTCGTTTCATCATTTCATTCATATTAATAGAGAAATACAAAAGCACATCCCAGAGCTAAATCTAATAATACAGTATGTTTACCAATATATAAAAGAGCATATTCATAGGAAATAAGACTTGAAGGAAATAAGCCAAAATACCCACAGTGGGGGAATTGTGAATGATTCATTTTCTTCTCTGTTCTTTCCACATCTTTCCTAATGTGGCTTTATTTTTATTTATTCATTCAGCAAATATTTGTTGAGTATCTACTATGACTGATGCTGTGACAAACAGAACAGACCCCTGTCTCTGCCCTCATGGAACCCACAGAAAAAGTATTGTCTTTAACAAAGGAAATTAATGTCAATCCAAATATAACTTGGGGACTAGCCTTCATTTGTCCATTCTCATTCTGCTACGTGCTAACGAGCCTAGTTGACGTTATTCAAACATTAAATTTCATTGACTACGTGATTCATTTGTTTTCTTCACATTTTAACCTCTTTCATTCTTCCTGTCTTTCTTTTTCTGGTACGGGGTCTTGAATTCAGGGCTTTGTACTCTCCGTTTGCTTGCTCATGGATGAACTTCTACCACTTGAGCAACACCTCCAGACTAGCTTTTTGCTGGCTAATTGGAGACAGAATCTCACTAAGTCAGTGGTGCCCAGCTAGCTACATGTTGACATTTCTGAAGACAGGATTTGTTTAAATGATTAATCAAATCTTACCATGACAATAAACAGTGATTTTTTTTCCCCCTCTTTCTTGGTGAAACTTAAAACCGTGAGGGCATCTTGCAATCTATGGCTCAGGTACATTGCTGCCTCAGCTCCAAAGTGCTGGGAAAACTTGCAAGAAGGCCAGAGGTGGCAAAACATGTGTTTACAGAAAGCCTTTTCCTGGGAGGTTCATATGAATCATGCTAGGAAAACTGATTGCAGAGTGAGAATCTTGAGAGGAGCAGGTGACCTGAAGGGACCAAGTTATAAATGGGATGATCTTTGTATAATGAAAAAAAGATCCTCCTATTCATACATAATTACACACATAAACACATTTTATAGAGTTTTTCCATTTTGTTTCATAATCCCCAAACAATACTCTTGGGCTATAAACCAAACCAAAGATTGCTTTTGACAATCTGTAATCGCCTTAAATTCAATTAAGTCAAGGTACAGTCCTGCCTTCCTGGACACCCGAGAGATGCTCCTCTGGTTAGCTCAGTTCTGTCGGAGCCTTGCACAACCCTGGATTCTCTGCCAGCCAAGACAGGGAATAGGGTGAAATCCTAGGAGCAGAAATGGCCCTTTGGACAGAAGAAGGATGGGGGTGGCTAAAACTAAATGAGTGTGCACCAGCTGCAGGCATTAAGCCAAGGCCCCCGCCGTTCCCTACTGTGTTCAATCCCCTCACCGACCCCAAGAGGGAAGGTGGTATTATCTCCGCATTCCAGATGACAAAACTGCATGGTTAACTAGCTTGCTCAAGGTCATGTAGCTAGAGGAGTAGTAGGGCTGGGCTCTGAGCCCAGATCTATCAGGTCCCCATGCCTGTGTGCGTTCTGCTCCACCACACTACGTGGTTGGAAACCAGGCAGGCTCTCTGGGAGAGGGTGCACTGGAGCTACGCCAGGGAGGAATTGGCCATTGAACCTTTTCTTACCCTGGTCCCCAGAGAAACAAGACTGGCCCATTGCTGTGGAGGACAAGCCCAGAAGCCCAGATCCTAGTCTTGACTGTGTCCATGGTACTCAAACAGCTCATCCTCACTTCCCATCTGTAGGATGAGAGGATTCAATGAGATGGCCTGATGCGGCCTCTAGAACATACTCCTAGGAGTCTCTGTCTGTATGGTCTCAAGGACATAGGTGTTACCTGGTAATTTGGCCAACAGCAGTTTTATACTTACTCCCTGCTCTTTCAGGGGCTGACTACTCTCTTCCCGCCAGCTCTCATGGGGTTCTATGCAGATAAGTTGTAACACAGATGTGAGATGAACCCATCCTAGCCTTGAGAGGCAGAACTTGGGCTCCTGCTGGTGAAAAGTAGGGGAGGGGATAACATCCCTAAAACTTTAG